CTGGTGGGCTGAGCTGGCCACACACACACACACACACACACACCCCAAATGTAAAAACAAAACAAAACAAAACAAAACAAAACAAAACAATAAAATCTTGAAATGCATAGGAAGGAAGCCTCTCTCAAATCGGAAGATATTTCCTTGAACCTTGTAAGAATGAGAGTCTGCTGTTATCCAGAAGAATGACCATAGCAGCAGATAAAGTTATTGCGAGGTATCTGGAGACTTGAGGATTATGGGACGTTGCACTAGTGACCAAGCTAAGAAGCCACTGGCAAGTCCCAGCACTGGCATACTCCTCCCGCCTCAGCCCTGTATTTTGCAAGCTTATTTTAGGTTCGATAGCTCTGTAGCAGAGCGCTGGCTGTTCCATTGAGAACAGCACTTTGCACGGTGAGGTGGCAGGTTGGGGAAGGAGAGCCAGGGGAGTACGTGCCGAGCAGGCCCAAGGCCCGGGCTCACAAACACGAGTGGGTTGAGGGCAGGTGGGTGGCAGGCAGGGTGTGACTGTGGCTGCGAGGTGTCAGGTTGCTGTCTCTCTCCCTGCAGTCCCACACAGCCAGTCACAGACCAGTGGAGACAAGCGGGGTTAACTGGAGTTGTTCTGTGCTGATACACGTGAGCTATGGGAATATTTTCTATTATGTTTCAGTTAACATGGGGGTCCGTGCTGCCCTCCTCCCTCATTCTACCTGGCAGCTACAATTGCCAGCACAGGCTGTGTTGGCTGAGGCTTCTGGGTTGAGGGGTGAGTCAGCAGGCCTGGGAGGTGTCACTTGGGTGAGGTAAGGCTGCAGGCCTGTAGGTGGCTTCAGGCAGGGCTGTGAGAGGCCGACCCCCAAACCTGGCGCCAGCTACTGCTCTGCAGTGTGTGCTGCCTTCGAGATCTGGCCATGATACGTCATGGCGTCGTCCAGTGAGCTAGCCCTGGGCAGTGGTGCCGAGGACAAGGAGCTTCCCTTCTCCATTCCCATGTTTTCTGCACCACGCTGCCCCTCTACCCCCTAGTACTTCTTCCTTTTCTTCTTCCTCTCTTCATCTTCCACGCTTTTATAAAATGTTTCTTGATCTTTCAAAATTCATAGCTCTCAAAATTCATACCCCTAGTAACCAAGAAATGGAATTAATCTAACTACACACCAAAATGTAGCAAAATATCAGTCCCCCACAAAAAGCATGAAATCTTTGTTTGTGGCGGTGTGGATAAAGCTGGAAGTCATTCTGTTAAGTGACTTAAGCTAGGCACAGAAGGACAACCACTGCGTTACCTCATTCAGACGTGGAGTCTGAGAAGATTGGTTGCAGTGTCAGGTGCAGCGGCACACGCCTGCACTTTCCCCTGTTCAGAAGGCTGAGGCAGGAGAACTGCAAGCTATCGTCCAGCTGGAGCAAGTTGGTGAGGACCTACCTCTCAATACAACTTTTTTTGTTTTTTTGGAACCGGGGATTGAACTCAGGCCCTTGCACTTGCCAGGGGAGCGCTTATTCCACTGAGCCACTCACCGGCCCCTGTACAACTTTTTTGAAGCTCCAGCGATGCAGCACAGTGGAGAGTACCTGCCTCAGCTGCACCCCCACACAGCCAAGCCGGGAAAGGCCGGGCCAGCTGCTCAGCCTGCCTGCTGCAGTCAGTGGGAGCTAAACTCTGTGCCCTGTTGCTGCAGATCCTGTTCCAAAAACCCTAGAAGGAAGGATTTGAACTGTTTCCATCCCAAGGAAACGAGAGGGGTGGGGAGATGGCCCAGTGGCATAAGCCCTTCCCAGGCAAGCTCAAGGACCTGAGTTCAATCCCCGCTCCCCCCACAAAAAAAAAACCCGAGGGAATGATAACTGTTGGAGCAGAAAAATTCCTTACCCTGTTGTGAACATTCTACAGTAAGTATATGTAAACATCACACAGCACCCTGTAAATCCATATAATTTTCACATGCCACCTAAAATACTATAATACTGAAAATGTATTTTAGGCTGGGAGTGTGGCGAAGTGGTAGACTCAGGATGTAGGAGGCTCTGAGTTCAGTTACCAACACACACACAGAAATCAGTGAATGAAATTCACATTCGATTCTTAATGATACACACAGAAGTCTCCCTCCTGGCCTGAACTCTAATGTGACCTCCGAGGGAAGCCTGCTGCTTGCTCGCTCCCTCCCTCCCTCCAGTCTGTAACCTGCAAGAGGTAAATTCCGCCTGTTTTGTGTCCTCACCATGGATGGTTTGCCTAACTTTACTTTTTACCTTCTGTTGTTTAACTCATGGTTTAGAAGTTCTGTTTTCCGGGTGCGCAATGATAACATTGGATGTGCTCTGGCGAACGCATCCTCTGCTGTTGGTAGCTCTATTATGGTCCTCCCTTTCTTCCTGTTCAGACCTGAGTGTGCAGGCAGTGTGTGTAGGTGGTGTGGGTGTGTGCCTGGGGTGGCTGCACACCCCCAGCGCTCTGGAGGGCTTGCTGTGACTGTCACTGCAGTCCTGGCCTCCGAGCAGTAGGCCAGTGGAGGCCGCTCTGTAGAGGACATTCAGGAGCTAGGTGAATGGGGCTGTTCAGCATGTCTGGATTTCCTTGTGAGGTTTCGGCAGCTTTTGGCCATCTGTGAGGTGCGCAGCGGCTGCTAGACTCAGAGGGACTCGGCAGCGGCTGGCTGATCAGGCGTGTTCATCTGTCGTGTATAGAGTTAGCTGTCCTATCAGGATGTTTCCAAGCGTTGCGCAGCTGCCAGTCTAGCGGGGCTGTGGTGCGTTTCCCGGGACAGGTCAGCTTTGCTGGCCCCATGTTGCTGAAAAGAGTGTTTTACTCGTTGGGGAGTTAGCATTTGCAGTTCCTACCCAGGGAGGCCTTTTGTCTGATTTTTCAAATAAACAGTAGCGGCAAAGATGCTTGGTCTGTTGCTCGTTCTTATTTTCTACTTCATTTCTTCCTGTTCAAAAGTGAAGGCCTCGTAAGTTACAGGTTCATTTTTATTTTCCTAAATTGTTAGATTAGGGGGTTTGTCCTCTGACATAGAGAAGAACTGGGTTTTAGAAGCAAACCTAAAATTTCACATATGCTGTGAAAGGACTTTAGTGTAATTTTGTTTCCTTTTTTAAATTAAAAAATTTATTAATACATACTTGTCATACATAACGATCACATTCGTCGTAGGGATTATGTGCCTGTACATAACATACCTTAATTCTCCTTTTTTGCCATTTCCTTCTCCTCCCTTCAGTCCTCCTTCCCCTTCTCATGTACAAAAGCTTTGTTTCCATTTGGCCCCTTCCATTCTGTTTCTTCCATTTTCCTTCCCTTCCCTTTCTCCCTTCCCATTTGAACATTTTCTTCCTACTTACATTATCAAGCCCTACCACCTTTTGAGCCAACTTCCCTCCCTCCTTTCTCCCTCCTTTCGGGGGCAGGGGCTCGCTGGTGTTGACCTCCTGGGCTCCATCCAGTGCCTCTCCTGCCTCAGCCTGCCAGCGCCTGGCTCTTGACCTAGATTCTTAATGTCTCCAAACTGGTTTTCACAGCTCTACATTTCAATTGTTTGAAGATCTAAAGGAAAGGTTATCTATTAAATTTGCATAAGAAATATTTGACAATAGTATTCTCCTGAAGGATATGTATAGCCTGTAAAAAAGGAGCTAAGCTTTTGGAATCACCTCGTAGCACATATATTTAGAAAAGTCAAGTGATTTTGGGCTGAGCGGTTCTAATTGCAGGACAATTCTGCCTGGGGGGTATTAGAAGAGAACGTGAGGAGTTCAGCTGTGAAATCTGACATCCTTTTCCTTTGTCTCCTAACAAAAAAGGAATTAAAACTTTTTAAATGGTTTATAAAGAGCTTTCAGATTGAAAGGAGAAATACACAATTTAGTTTCTTTTTAATAATAGCTGTGTATGTCTCCTATGAAGCCTAGCTCTGCTACTGTTTGCTTAAAAGTGGGTGTTGACTAATTTTCAGCTTGCAAGTAGGAGTGTCTGTCTAGTCAGTGTTTTCCTTTGTACATAGAAAGTTTGCAGGACTCTGACACAGCGTGCAGTGTGTGCGGAGAGTGTGGGGAGCCATCGCACGGATTTCCCGCAGTCATGGAAAACGGTCCAGACTGGAACGCGCGGCTGGTGGGCCGCATGTGCTGCATGGGTCAGTAGTGAGTGGGCTGTCCTGACAGGACCTGCCCGTGTTTTCGGAGCTGGGAAGGGACCCTCACGTTACCTGCTTCGGCTTGTCTGTTGGGAGGGGTGTGGACGTGGGGCGCCGCTCAGAAATCCAGGTGGGATCCTGGTGACTCCAGAAGCTCAGGGGAAGGAGCTCGCCGGCTGCTGTGCGTGGGGTGCCGTCTGGAATCTCCGTGTTTGCTGTGTGTGGGGCATGCAGGGCTTGGGCCTTGACAGGACCTTACTGAAAGGCAGTCAGTGTAGGCTAAATAGTCAAGGCTCCTTAGGCACTTTTAAATTTCTCCTCTTAAATTCTTTTACTATTTGCATTGAGAGTTATATATTTTCAGCTGTGTTGTACTTTTTTTTTTTGTTTTAATGTATTTGGTTCAGGGTTGCTCTGCGCAGCTCAGACTTGTAGTGATCCTCCTGTTTTCAGCCTTCCCACTGCTAGGATTGCAGGTGTGCACCACCACGCCCAGTCTTCGTGGCTGGCTCAGTATGCCTGGGAGCTGGCTCAACATGTGGTGCTGGGGATCGAACCCTGGACCCTACGCCTGCCTAGGCATGTGCTTAGTCCATTGAGCTATTTCACTGGTCCTTTACTTTCTTTCTTTCTTTTTTAAAATTTATTTATTTATTTTGTGTGTGTGTGTGGCCAGCTCAGCCCACCAGGGGGTGGGGCTGGCTGGCATGTGGTGCTGGGGGATTGAACCGCGGTCCCTGTGCTTTGCTTAGCTTAGCTTGTTCTAAGTAGGTGCTTTAGACCACTGAGCCATCTCACCAGCCC